GCAGACTCTTTTTTATAGTCATAAACTTCGTTTCTGACTTTTCAGGATGCTGTCAAGCAGCAGTCTCGGTCAGTATTAGAACCTGGTCCCTTTCATTTTTCTTGAAAATTTTTTTCCATTTTGTTTATTTTCTAAAGTACTCAAGCCACTGAGTTTAATTTCTTACCTATTATTTATGCTTTTGTCCAGTTTAACTCAAGCATCCTCTAAGGCAAAAGTACACAGCTTTATCTGCTGGCTTTGTTATAGGAGGGAAGGAAAAATACAAGGAAACTAGTTAATAGCTTTGAACTACTGCTTTCATTGTTGCTGTTATTATTTCTTGTTTGACATATTGACATTACAATGACTATCAGAATTCTATTCTTCACTAGAATTTTATCTTGAGCTTCCAGGTAAGTGCTATGTGGTGGTAAGCAGCTCCATCAGAAATCCTTCAGTAGGAACTTAAAACTGCCTACATCTCTTCTGAGTGCATAGGAACAGCCTCAGGGTGGAGAAGGATGTGGCGTTTCCTGCTTGATTCATGTCTGTCCTATGACGAGAGACTGGGACCTAAGTAGATATCCTTTGTAGACACAACTTCTCAATAACTCACTATTAGAGACTTTGACAACAGTTCTGGTGATTTTCTCACTTAACATTTTAGAAGCAAAGTGGATCCAGAGATGAGAATACAATAACCTGTCAACTTCTCATTTTATCACTGCTCCCAGGACTTCCAAACCTTTGGAACTCACTTTTCACTGCTAATCCCATTACTACATGCTAAAAACTGTGTATTTTCTCCTGCCGCATGTTCCATAGATTTGGAATTTAAGTTTCACTCAACTAAACAGAAGTTTTTCTTCTGTAGATAATAAACATTCTGTAGATAGTAAATCATTTCTGTAGATAATAAACAATTTTCTAGGATTGCTGAATATAAAATCCATTCCTTTTGTCCAAAAACATATTCAGATAGGTAATATCATTTTCAGGAAGAGCATGAAACTGAAGTTCATGAGGTCAGAGGGAATGGTATAAGGAACATGAGCTTAAAAGCCATGTACTTGAATGTTTTTCTGATTTACACCTATTTGGGTAAGCTCAGAAAATTACTTTCTCTGTCTTGGCTTCGAAATGATCAGCTCTGATTTTCTTCTAGCTCTGTCAATCTAAGATTTTATCAATCTAAAATAAGCTTTCCCTAATTGAAATGGTCTTTATCACTACATATCATATATTTAGATGGTAAAAAGCAATTAAGTAGTTGAACGTTAGTATAACGTTAATTATAACAATACACTTCACAGAATATAGTTTTGGCCTTATGTTGCTTTTTGCATTTCTCTTTAGCTTCGGCTTTTGCTAATATCTCTGAGAAACATCTCATGAATCTAGCCTTTCCAAGGATGGGGAGATGCATTTTATAAGTTCATATATTTATGTAACTAGCTTGTTTCCAACCATTGGTGCCAACAATTTTTAACTTGTACCAGGAAGGAAATAGCAAAATCTCTAAATTCTTTGAAAAATTATGGTCTTCCCCTATCCTTGGAAGCTTTATGTTATAGGCTAGAACTGAGAATGTCTGTCCCAAATTTCCTTTTAAAATTCTTATCTTGGGGGTCTAGCTTTGCTCCACAGCTTTTAATAAGCGATTGCTCATGCCAGGCATTGTACTAGGCACTGGGGATATAAACAAGAATATTAAACAGTCTCGTTGCTTAAGGAAGTCATTGTCTAGTGAGAGAGATGGACTTGTAAATAAGCAACTGCAAAACAGTGACAGTTCGTAATAATAGGTGTAAGAACAGGACGTTTTGGGACCATACAAAAGAAATAACTACTTCACATTCTGAGAAAAAAAAATAAAGGCCATGGAAGGCTTCCGGAAATAAGCTCCAGCTTTAACGAGGTAAGAACGAATTAGTCTCCAGCCTGAGGCTGGAGGGATGGACCTTGTAAAACAGAAGAAAAAAAAAAATGGGAGAAGGACAGCAGTGAATAGGTTAGGAAGAGGGGACATGCAAGAACAAATTCAAGAAAATTATTCAAAGGCGTAAGGGAAGGAGGACGATGCAAGAATTGAAGCTGAAGAGGTGAACGGAAGCCTTACATGTCAGGAGGACTTTGGAGTTCATGCTGGGGCTAGAGCAGCCATTTAAAGATTTTAAGCATAACACCATCAAACTTGGATTTCAGACCTTTACTCTGCCGACACTGGAGAATGCAATGGAAGGGAGACTGAAGCAGGAAGGTCATTTATAAGGCTGTTGTGGTTAATCATGAAAGGATGATGATGGCTTGAACCAAAGAGTTTATCAGATTTGGTGATTAACTCTGTGGAGTACAAAAGAGACAGAGGAAGACAATGCCTAGATTTCAGGTTTGTCTCATTTTTGCTTTGTTTTAAAGCAGTATGGCTGCTTAGTAGGAGTTTTTAAAAAGTTTAAACTGGGGAATTAAACAAATCTGTTTTAAAGAGGTCATTTGGAGATTAAACAAACAAACAAAACAAAAGAGCTAACAAGGATGGACTGAAGCAAGTCTGTTAGGCTATTGAATAAATCCACAGAAGAGAAAAATGGTCTAAAATTCATAAAAGAAGAAAATAAGGCAATATGCAAGAAGTCTCTAGGCTTGAAAGATATTTGTAAGTACTGTAACGGATTGGGCTGGAGCAAGTCAGCACATCAAAATAATTCAGAAGGAGCTCCATGGTCAAATAAAAATTCCAGCAAGGATGTCAAATATTTAGACTCTTCAGTTGCCAAAGCTTTCCCTCTGTTTTCTCTTCATGTTTGAAGAATGAGTTACAGTCACATATGATACAGAAGGAACTTTAATTTCAGTACTGGAAAGGAAAAGGGATTTATCTGTGTGATAAGATGTCAAGGAAAAAACAATCTGTCTTGTTATGCTTTTTTCTGTGAGGGAAACAGATATCACCTGTCATTGGTAAAGGAAACAGGGTGTGGGCGCCACGCCTGACTGGCCCAAGGTCTGGCTGCGATCCAGGCCCACGGCTAGGAATAGGACCTCAGACTTAGAAAATGTGTAAAAATAATTCAGATTATCGTATCACGCATGTGTGGCTGAATGCCACTTTAGTACTCTACTATGTGAGGAGCCACACAGTCCCATGGAGAGCGGAAGGAAAGAAGGAGAAAGAGAGGAGAAGGAGAGCATAAGGGGAGAGCAGAAGGGGAGCACAAGAAAGGGGAGCAGGAGAAGTGCATGCAAGACTGAGCGCCCCCATGCAATAGACTGCACTCCCCAATAGAACTGCACTTCCCAACAGAAGTGCGCTCCGCACAATAAAGTTGGTGCCTGGCGTTTCATCCTCATGTTGCCCTTTTGCGCATTCGTCCAACTGGGCCTCACACCACCGAACCTCCTGGGTCAGGTCAGCAATACCTTGGACCCTGACACAGGGAGTGTTATTTGAGAACACATTCACTTCATTTACCACACTCTGTGTGCTATGTGAGAATGGCTTCGGTCAAAGTCGACCAAGAAGGTCACAAGGAATATCGAATCGGGGTAGGTATGTGAGTCTTGTCATGTGCTTTTCTCAGTTTCAAGCACGTATTAAGTGTTTAGAAATGTCAACATTATTTTTTTTTAATTGTAATTAGCATAGAATGAGAAGTGTGGTTTGTATTTAAAAGTATAGAAGAGAGCAAAGAGAAGACAATTGAGATACAAAAAGAAGAAAAAAAAGACTGACTCTACTGCTTACTGGTTTACAGCACTCAGGTAAAACCGGACCAATCATCCATTTTTGTAAAGGTAGTTTTATTGGAACATATCCATGTATATTTATTTTCATTTATTTATACAACAGTAGCATTGAGTGGTTGTGATAGAGACTAAATGTCTCACAAGGCCTAAAACATTTTAACTCTTTTTAAAAAATTATGTTCATCCATAGCCTAGACAAGCGCTTTCTGAAGCTTTAAAAGAGAGGGAACACTTCAGGTGAGTTCCCTGAATGAGAAAATAAGGAGTTTGACAGCGGCAGGTTAATGAAAACCTATATTAGGAAAATAGAATCTGAAATATTAATTATAGAGAAATGCATAATATGGGGGAGTGACCAGGAAGACATGATAGAAATAGCTTTGCCTTCTTTAGTTCTATTTCAGGATCATTTGTCACTTCCTGGTTTAGAATTTTAGGGCTGGTTTCTCAAACCTCAGTGAGATGGGTTTGGTTTTTATTTGCCTCCCATCCATCGGGCTACAACTCAAGAAATAACTCAGAAACGTACTTGATATTTAATGCAGCTATTTTGTTATAACCATTTGACACTGACATTTTATTTTAAATTCACGAGTTTGTGTCTCAAAAAAAAAAAAAAAGTCAACTTTCGCATTTTTTAAAATCCCAAGTGTGTTCAACACTTTCACACTTTTATCCCCAATCTTTGATCCTCAGTCCATTCTCTATTTTCCTTGGTCCTTCTCTCATTCTTGACCTCTGCAACCCACTTTCACTTCACCCTTGACCTTTACTGGGTCCCTAGGCCTTTCTAGATCCCAATGTCTCATCTCATTCTAGACCACCCTATCCTCTACCCTACTCTACCCTAAGCCACATACTCCCAATGATTGTCAAGGATTGGTTAAGTATTAAGTGTGGGATACCAAAGTCTTTGTGTATACCACCTAATCTTCATAACTGTATCCAAAATAATAACAATAATAATAATGAAAGAAATAATTTGTTATTTATATTTCAATAAAATGTTCAAAGGACGTAACGGAGCAACTACTTCTCAAAAAATAATGTCTTGACCATGAAAATAGAGTTTCTGGATTTCTTATAGGTAACCAGGAAAGAGATAACAGTCTCACGTGCTATAGAATCTCTAAACCCTTTCTGTACATCTCGGAGTTGCCAAAGAAAATAGCAACGTTGTTTTCTTACTTTTTTTTTCCTGAAATTTCATGGTTTAAAAATAATTTACAAGCGTTCGTTCTTTTTTCTTAAAGATAACATAGAGAAGAAAAAAAGCGTAAGAACCAATTTATTTTTACTCAGTTACAAGGGACAAAGATTACTAAATCCAACTATTACTAAATTGGCCTAGTGACAATTTATTTAATACAAAAAGGGCAGTGGGAAAAGATGCAAAATTAACTTCCCAAATCCAAGTAGGCCTGCCCTTCCGGGCACAGTTCTTCTGTAGCTGAGAACTTGAACCGTGATGGATTCTCCATAGGCTTTCTTCCGCTAGAGTCTGTTCAGCACCAGACCAGATGCTGAAAGTGAACAACGTATCTTGGCACTGTCACGGGACACCAGGAGCAAGATTCTGAGCATGACAGAGTTATCGGTTGTTTCATCCCACCCTTACTGTCTAATTTAGTAGCCTCTAGCCACATATGGTTACTGAGCACTTAAAATGTGGCTGGTTCAAACTGAGCTGCACTATAAGTATAAAAAACATACCAATGTCAAAGATTTAGTAAAAAAAAAAAAAAAGTTTGTATTGATTATACTTTGAAATAATATTTTTAATATGTTGGGTTAATTAAAAATATTATTAAAATTAATTTTACCCATTTCTTTTGTAGCTACTAGAAAATTTGAAATTACATATGTGACTCGTCTTATACTGCTATTGGACAGGGCTGCTCTAGGGACTTACACAGACATTGGGAACTCTCATTTCCTTAGTCTTCTCCCAGACTATGGGACTAAGGCCCTGACATAGGACATTGTCAAGAGGCAGCAATATGAATGGATATGTGAAATTACTGGTTTGTGTCATGGGATGGGGCCTATGGAACTGAGACATAGTTTTGCTATTCATGGAAACAGAGACACTGGATAGAGTTGCTGGTTAAGATGACAGATAGTGAAGGTGAGGTTGAGTCATAGCTGATTGGCTTTACATAGCTCTTGGCTACCTAGGAGCCCATATCTCCCTACTTCAGTTCCCAACTATGATGGCAACTTGAATCTGAAAAAAGGGAGCATTTTCTGTCCACCACTGGGTTTAGCAAGACAAAAGGGTAGAGTTTATTAAGCTTCTGTACAAAAACAATTTTCTACTAGCCAGGTAGTGGCAAAGAAGTCCCAAAAAGGGTGTTCTGCTGGGTTTACTTTTATTGAACAAGTAAATGGACAGACAGCGTTGTGATGAGGAAGTCTGCAGAGCCCAGACCAGGTAGAGGTGTCTCTGTGCCCTCCGATCACAGAATCTAGGAGGAAAGAGACGGAGAAGACTGAAAGTCAGTGAGTCCATTCCCCCAACAGCTCTCTATTGTTATCGTTTTTACAGCAAATGAGATGAGCCCTGAAGAATTCTTTATATGCAGATGGTGAAAGTAGGCAATTCAGGATTATGGCATACATTTTCCCTCATGGCTTTCACCAATCCTTGCATTATTTGTCCTAGAAGAGAAGATGGATAAGTTAGATGTAGAAATTCAGAGACATGGTAGAAATGTGGGCTATCTATTTATAGCCATATACCATACCCTAGTCAAAGAAATCCATAGATTGCTGCATTCTGCCAAACACTCAGTTCGAAATCACTTTCACATTTTATTCAATTGAGTCAATGAGCATTTATTAAGCAACTACTATGGACCATCTGTTGAGGTAGATACAAAAATGAACTCTGCTCTTGATTACATGTGACCCTCATGGTAATGCCGAGCGATAGGTGTCATTAATATCATTTCACAGAGGAGGAAATTGAGCTTCAGAGAAGGTTAGTGACTTGCCAAGGTCTCACGTTTGGTCAGGACTTAAAGCTAATTCCTCCAACACTAATGCTTTTACTCTTATAGTTTGTTTTAGGCCATGAGAATATATTCAGCTATCTTCCTTACCTGACTCATCCAATGCTTACAAACTCTTTAAATCAACATTTAAACATTAAATCAACATGTACATTTTTAAAAAAAGACCTCGGGAAGTTTTCTTCCAGGTGACTGCACATCGTCAGGCAGCACCGCCTGGAGCCCCTGGAGCACTGTCATTCCGAACGCAAACCCCTCTTTCAGCTTTCACATCAAAGTTAAAATTATGAGCTTTCCTTTGTTTCAAGAGTGACAAGCTAGGTCTTGTTAAATCCTTGAAAATCTTCGTCGTTGAACTGAGAATAGTCATTTATTCATCTCACAAAAAACAGTATTGAAATTTTCCTTAATGTAGGAATTGTCTTCTAAAGTAGCTAATCTTTATTTAATTGAGAGAATGCCTTCTCTCAAGCTCCTGGTTAACAGAATCTCCTGACAACTAAGGGATGATGGCTGAGCATAAGAAATAAAGTTAGAAGATCTAAATTGGACCCCAGATATAATACTGAATAACTCTGATAAATTGCAAGATTTCTCTCAGGCTGACTTTTTTTTTTTTTTTTTTGAAAACTAGAAAAGATAATGACCCCTGCCTTAATCACGGGACTATTGTGAGGATGCAAAAGCAAAAAAAAGAACACATAAAACTCTAAACGGGTCTACAGCCATGCCACCCTGAACAAGCCTGATATCGTCTGATCTCGGAAGCTAAGCACGGTCGGGCCTGGTTAGTTCTTGGATGGGAGACCACCTAGGAAAACCAGGTGCTGTGGGCCTAAAAAATAAAAAACAAGGGATTGTAAGCTGACAAGGTCTTTGCAATCTGTGAGGTCAACCAAGGGTTGCCTCACCTAAAGAAAAGAAAAAAAGTAAAAAAGAACTCTAAATGGTTACATTAATCTTAGCAGTTATTGTATAATAGAAAGTAATCCTGAGCAAGAAAAAGTATGGGTTCCAGTATCCTCGATCTTTTTTTCCAGGAAAGTTGTGGTGGCCTGGCCCTTTACTCTATTCTTGGGATTCCTGACTCTAGAGAATCTTCTGTTGAGAAACAACGTTCAGGCAATAGGTTCGGACCTCCAGGATATGCATAAGTAAGAGTGAGTAGAGAAATGCCAAGCCATGACCCACCTGTACCACCTCAGTGTATCTAAAATGGCATCACTGAATCATACAGAGGGAACTGGAACCATGCCCTGGACTTCTTTTGTTCTAATGACTTGTTCCATTGGGCAACATCATAAATAATTCCTATCATTAATAATGCTTATTATGTAACTCTAGAAGAAAACACCCAAAAATGAAAGGAAGAAACTCCTTCAGAAACTTTATGTGCTTAGTCCTGGCAAGATTCTGCGTTATTTGAATAGACACATCTTATCAGTATTATCCTATAGCGACTTCCTCATAAAGCAGTTTTTGTCAAGTTGTCTGCATGAGATTGCAGCAAGGTATGCTTTAAGGTGTGGTCTACAGGACTTGTATAAAGATTATTTTTACCTTCCTGTTCTGAGATAGATGTGACCAGATCTGTTTGTGAGATGGGGGGATAGTACATTCTATTAATAAATAAGGGTCAAACCACTTAGAGTTTATAGGTAATAAAACAGCAAATACCATAGGAAGACTATAGCAGAAGTTCAAACCCTCTTTATGGATGTTTAAAGCAAGACCCAGAGTAGATAGATGGTCTCCTGATTTCATCCCAGTCCTGCAGCTTCTCTACCTGCCTTCCAGCTGCTAGTGTGAAACCAGAAATACCTAATTTATAGCTCTTGTTATTCCAGTTTCCCATATCAAGGCTTACGAAGTAGCTCTTTTGAATATGGTCTCATCTAGTGTTGCTTAAGATCTCAGATCCGGTAAAATAGTTTCCAATTCTATTATTGCCAGAGCTTTTTGTGGCAGTGGATAATAATAAATAATTATTAAATATAATCTATTTATATAATTTAATAATTAAGTATAATTTATTAAATATAACTTACTAAAACATTGTTTGCTTTAGTCAAATAAAAAATATTTTTATAAAAATGTATTTTTTATTTAACTAAATACAAAATAAATTTATTAAAATTGTTAAAAATAAATAAGCACTGTGCCAGGGTCTGTTTCTCTAAGTTTGTACTTTGGTCTCTTAAGCATAATAATAATAGCGATGGTGAAAATAAATGCCATTAATTTTTAGACACTGCCAAATGCTTAAATGTCAATCTTTACTGAATATTTTTAATAACTCAGTGAGACCTTTAGATAGTTATGTGATTTGCCAAAGGTCTCATGTATGAAGAACGTCAAAAACTGGAATTTGAACTCATATTTATCTGATAACAAAAATCTTTCCCTTATTTGAAAATTCCCAGTTTTTTCCCCATGTTACGTATCATCTTGCTAGAGAAGAGATTCTTCAAATGCGATCAGCAGGGAGAATGTCAAACTCAGTAATGTGTGTTAAAACATCCTTGTAGGAATTTAAATTAAAAGGTCGATTTTTCATTTTGGGAGACAGTTTAATACAATGTGAAATTGTTATGCTAGGGACATTGCTACTAAACAATGTATTAATGATCTCAGTAAACAGTAAACATTTTAAAATATTAACTACTATATCATTCTTCCACATATTTCAGCAATTACTTAATTATCTTCACAAAGAAGATGTGACCAATTCTGAGGTGACCTGGCCTAGTGTCACTTCCCTGTCAGAGAAATGCCCATCACCAGTACAAGAGATCAGGATTAGAACCACCTGGTTCTAACACCGTAATCATGGATGCTAATGTACTTACAGACGCTGGCACGCTGAGAGGGGTTGTTCCCGGGGTGCTAGTCTCCTCACACCTCCCTTCACTGCGTATGCGTGTATTACTTTGGCGTATTCTAAAACAGAACAGAGTAAGTTTCAAAGATGAGGGAAACCCAAGGATCTATTTGGGTGACATATGAGCATCAAATCAGCATTGAAATTAGGGGTGGGGCCTGGGATCTGCATTCAACTTTTTTTTTTTTTCCCCAGTAGGCATCATCCAGGTTTAGTCTCCCTCTTCTGATTTAGCTCCAGATTTGTTTACCAGCCCTGGATCTATTCTGTCACATTCCATTCACCTATATACTCATAGAATTGTTGAATGTTGGAAATAAACTCAGAGGTCATCTAGTCCAAAAGTCATTATTTAACAGATGGAGAAAGTGGATCCCAGAGAGAAACGTGACTTTACTGAGTACCTATAATGTGACTTGAAGGTTATAAAATATATTTTATATAAATATATTAAAACATAAAATATAGAGAATATAGATTCCATATAAAATATTTTATAAAAAATAAGATATAATCATATAGTCTGAATTTTATAATAGAAAATATCTTAAAGCATATGAATTTTAATGCCTCTCGCTTAAGGAATACTCTATGTCAAATGTCTACTTGTTTGCCTCCGGTGATGGGAAATTCTCTAATGAGGCTGTTCATTTTGTCTTTGGGCATTGCTCAAGGTGAACTTGCTCCTCTGTAGCTTCCTCTATGACAATGGAAACCAATACCATTTCCGTTTGCCCAGGGTAGCTTGAATCTTCTCTTCACAATAGGTACCCCCATTTCCTTCAACTAGACAATCCATCCTGAGACCCGTTTTATTAATATTTTCACCATGGAATTTCTGACTCTAAAGTTCCCTTGAAGCAGAGATTCACTTGTTATTGGTTTATACAGTTTTATAGAACACCTGAAGAATATTGCATGAATAATTTAGGTCCTGACATTTTCAATAAGAAGAAGATGAAAGATTTCTGGGCTGAAGATAAGGCATATATGTTAACAAATTCCTGAATGGTTGTACTCATGCCTTAAACAGGAATTTCTTAATTCTTAAAACTGTAAGATCCATGGATGAACTTCAAGAGATTTTTGTGCCCACAGACATTATGTATACAAATTGATATCACATCATGTTCTTTTCTGGAAAGAGATAACTTTCTTCAGTTATCAAAAGATAACTTTCTTCCTATTATCAAAGGAATCTTTGACCTCAATTTTTTAAGGAACTACAGCCTTGGACATAACAGTGTAGTGGAGAGCAAAGAAAACTGTATTATCCTCAAATAAACAAGGTTAAAATTTTGTATGATCTACTTCCCAGCTTTGTGACTTTAAACAAATGACCCGGACTCTTTGAGCCTCAGATTCACCCTCTGAACAGTGATGATAACACTACTTCATAGCAAGTAGTGTGGAATCAGTCAGGGGGTGAATGTGCAAGTGCCTTGCCTACAGATGTGAGAACACATAAAGCATTCATATTCAGATTTTATTTTAAGTACATGAACTGAAGAATGGCTTTTTCTTTTATGAGTTATTTGACTTAAAAAGAAATAAATGTAAATTCAAATATTTTTCCAGGATTGAAAAGCAGGCTATCAGACTCATCCTCACATTCTGGGCCTTGCCTATAGTATCCAAAGAATAGAACATACATGGAGTACGATGTAAGGCTGGGCTGGGGTGAGTGGAAAAGTCAAAATTTGCCACCATGCTCTCATTTAAAGCTAGTTAGATGGAGGCTGGGAAAAGGTGAGGAATGTGAATGGAGGCAGGTGTAAGGCAGCATTTGAGCAGAAAAGCAACGACCAAGCTATAATCAATAATGGAATTATTAAAACAAATTCTTTGTGTTTAACTTAAAAATAATAATTCTTCTCAATAACCGTGTGAAGTCAGTTGGCTCAGAAATCTGTCTCCACTTCCCCCAATGAAGAAACTAAATCTCAAAATGATGAAACAATAAGCCCACAGATGCACAGTTAGTAACAAATCTGAGAGTAGGCATCAGGTCTGCCAGTGGCTCCAATATGTTTGCTTTTGCATGACAGCTCTTCCTGCTCCAAGAAGTAGACTTAGGAAGGATGGGAAATCTCTCAATATCAGGCAGTTATGTCATAAGACCCATTAGAGATTATAGGCTGAGCTGACTCTGTACAGCAATGATTCTCGACTTTTTTCTGTTAGACAAAAAGTGGACGATATTCACAGTCCCATGAGTAACATGGGCTTATCGAGATGTCTCTAATTGCTGTAACCCCACCATTTTTCCTTTCTCTTCCACTCAGTAAAGAGTATAAACAATTTTATTAAAGGGGTAACCTAAAATCTTCTCTATATAATGATGAAGATCATAGCAGCTCAAAACTTGAATTTTGAGCTGCTATGATTAGTAAACTGGTCTTGGCATACCTCAAATTGCTATCAGTACACTACTGTGGGTCAACAGTGTCATAAACCTCTACCCTGAAAGATATGATGGTGCACTTTGCATACTTACAGGTTTTCATGACAGAGCATGCAGGGATTATTGTATGTCTGGCCATCATCACCACAGACAGGCTGTAAATTCTTTGGGCAAAGGTAGCCCATCTTGGGCAATACTCGGTAGTGTTTGCACATCTCAGAATCCTGAACAGGGAAAACATAAATTTTTTCAATGGCACTCAAGAGGGATGAAATGGGGGAAAAGCCTCATGACTTCTTCCATCACATCTGAATAAATGATTGGTAAAAGAACTGTAACATAGGTCAGGCAAACTCACATATTTATTTCACACCATTATTACCGTAGGTTTAACCTCCTGGATTTGGCTTCTTTTTACTAGGGAAGATAAGTAGCTAAACCAAGAAACAAGGAAGAGCTCAGCAACAAGGACACAGAAACCTTCCATGATATTGGGCACAGATAAACTGAGGCATGACTGTAGGAAGAAAACTAGAATAGTAATCATGTAACAAACAATATCTTTTTTTTTTTTTTCCTTAAATGAAGGCATTAGTTATATGCAATCTAGAAAGGAAATACTTAGAGGTAAATACGAATTAACTGGATGGGCTTTTGAGTCCCAGCTCTGTTACTAAACTAGAGAAGTGATTTACTTAACTTTTCTGTGCCTTAGCCTCTCATCTGAAAACATAAATACAATGGCTCTTGCCTCATATTGGTGTTTTAAGGGATCAAATCAGACATTGCAATTAAATGCATGCATAATAACACAGTGTTTGGCACATACCAGGGGCTAAGTATATGTTAATGGTCATATATGTTATATGTTAATGTTTCCCAAGATAAAAAAAAATTTTCATGTAGAAGATGGAACATGTCTATTCTCTGTAATCTTTTAGAAGTGTGAATTCAGTAATCATAGTAACTTTATTAAGAGAAATAGCTTCAAAGGAAAAATAGACAGAGAAATTTAAAAAACAGAATTATAGAAGACTTAAATACAATTACGTCAGGAATTACATTAAATATCAATAAGACTAAGTACTCCAGTTAAAGAACAGAGATTTCGGATTTGGAAAACAAAAAGACTCAACTATATAATGTTTACAAGAAGTATACTTTAAATATTTTTTTATATTTCAACCATTAGGTTAGAAAATGTATAGATACAAACATCAAATAGAAACTAGATATCTATATTAATATCACATAAAGTAAAATTTAGGAAAAAAGGTATTAGTAGAGCTAAAGAAGAGAATTTCTAATGATAAAATAATAGATTCATTAATAAAAATCTTAAACATCCATGTATCTATATTTTCAAAATATGAAGCGAAAATTGACTGACCAAAAGGAGAAACAGGCAAATTTGCAAACATATATGGCAATATTAACATAGTTCTTTCAGTAATTGAAAGCACAGACTTACAGACCTCTACATCCCAAAACTGCAGACTAAACAGTCTTTTGAAGTACACATGAAATTATTACCGAATAGACCTTATCCTTGACCATTAAGCAGCTGTCAATAAATTTCAGAGACTTGAAGGAATAGAAAATAAGATTTATGATCACAGTGGAATAAATATGACAGTGATAAGGTTTCTATGTATTTAGAGATTAAACGACACACTTCTAAATAACTCATGACTCAAAGTAATCAGAATAGAACATAGAAATGTTTGGAATTGAATGATAATGAAAATGTTAATGATCAAATCACAGCAGCTAAAACAGTGATTTGAGGGGAATTTGTAACTAAGTACATAATTAGAAAGGAAGAAAGCTTTAAAATCAATGATCTAAATTTCTCTCTTAAGAAGCTAGCAAATAATAAGCAAATTAACCTCAAAGAAAATAGAATAAACCAAATAATCAAGAAGAGAAATTTGTAAGATGGAAAACAGAACAAATATTGGTTGTTTGAAAAGAATAATAAATAAACCATTTGCAAAACTGACAAAAAGGCAAGAAATGCACATTACCAATATTAAGTATAACAAGGTGCATCACTATATAAATATAGATATTAAAAGAATAATGTGGAAATGTTATGAATAATTACATGCCAATAAATTTGACAATAGATGAAACAAAGAAATTCCTTGAAAAGCACTTTCCGAAACAGAGAAGAAGTAGAAAATTTAATAGTGTTGAATCTGTTAATATTAATTTCAGAGGCATAAAGAAGTACTTATTTTTTAGTTTATTCCGATAAATAATTCTAACATCTAAATGAACGGCTATATATTGCGGTGAGGTCCACATCAAAAGATATATTGAAGGAGAATTTAGATAAGCATCTTCTATGAACCACTGACAAAGTAGGACTAAACCAGGTATAATTTTAGTATTTTTTAGATATCCGCTGATAAGAGGTTCAAAATTACTAAGATTAAGCATTAAAAAGAAGAAACACAGAATGCTTCTCTTTTTCGTACATAGTACACCAATTTTGATCAAATTGTTTGACTCCACCTTCCAAACAGACCCAGGATCCAATCACTTCTCAAGACCCCCCACCACTGCCACCACAGCATAAACTCTCTCCTGTGAATTACCGCTATGGCTAACTAGCTGTCTAGCTTCTGCTCTTGCTTCCCTACAGCGTATTTTCAATACAGCAGGCAGAATTAGTCTTTTAAAACATAAATCAGATCACATCACTCCGAGTCTTTTCATTACCTTCGTTCAGAATAATTATCAACATCTTAAAAATGGTCTACGAAACCCAACATAACATGGCTTCGTGTTACTTCTATGACTTCCTCCGCTGTAGTTCTCTTGAGGTCATTCTATTCCAACTACACTAGACTCTTTGCTGTCCTTTGACCTCTTTCTCAAAGCTTTGGTTTCCTCTTCCTGAAATGCTCTCCCCACATTACACATATGGAATCAATCATTTAGGCTTTGGTGCAAATGTCACCTTCTCAGAAAGCTCTTTACTATACAGGATACTTAAAATTGTATCCCAGCATTTACTATATCATTTTTCTACTTTATTTCCCCCTTGGCATTATATTTTATTTATTCGCATTACCTATTATCTATGTTCTTCCAATATAAACTTCATGAGTAGACAGAGTTCTGTCTGTTTTATTTATGGCTACTGTTCTCATACACATAAGTAATGCTTAGAAAATAGTAGATGCTCAATAAATATTTGTAGAATAAATAAATGGGTGGTTAAACGGATAACAAAATGGATAATGAATGTGTTTCCCTTCTTTAAGAGAAAGCTCAGCTCAAAACCAGATTGCACTAGGAGGAAGCATGACGAGGCTTCTGGTCTTCTGGTGGTATCTTATTTCTTGACTTAGGTGCTAATATCACAGGTGTGATCACTTTGTGATATTTTATTTAGCTATATACTTAGGATATGTGTACTTTTTCTACATGACTATTATATTCCAGTAATATTTTTTAAATAAAAATATCATTCATAATAGCTAAGATATGGAAACAACTCAAGTGTCTGTCAACAGATAAATGGATAAGAAGATGTGGTATATAAATACCATTCTGTCTTTGTTGCTTCTTTGTAACGCTTTATCTTAGTAATTTTTAATCTGTAGCAGCAGAAACCTGAAAAATACTAGAAACATCCCTGGTTTAGTCCTATCTTTGTTAGTGATTCATAGAAGGTGCTTGCCTAAATTCTCTTTCAGCATCTCTATTGATGTGAAACTCACCACAGTCTAAATACATATATTATATATTTATATGTAATAAAATATTATTCCTTTAAGAGAAAGAAGAAAATCTTGCCATTTAAGACAACTTAGATGAAACTTGAGGGCATTATGCTGAGTGAAATAAATCAGAAAAAGGAAGACAAATACTGTATGATGTCACTTATAAGTGGAATCAGAAACAGCCAAACTCATTAAAAATAAAGTAGAATAGTGGTTACCAGGGGTTGGGATTGGGGAGATGGGGAGATGGCCAAAAAGTAAAAACTTTCAGTTATAAGATAAATAAATTCTGGAATCTAATATACAGCAGGGTGATTATAGCTAATAATACTGCATCATATACTTGAAAGTTACTGAGTAGACCTTAAATGTTTCACCTCAAAAAAAGAAATGGTAATTATCTGAGGTGATGGAGGTGTTAGCTAATGCTATAGTGGTAATCATTTTGCAAAATGTAAATATCAAATCAACACATTGTACGTCTTAAACTTACAGTGTTATACATCATATTGCAATAAAGCTGGGGAAAAAAGAACATATTTTTGTGAACAGTTCTTCTCCATGCTTAGAGATCACTAGTGTAGTGCCTAATTTACTAGAAATATGTAATTACTATATATATTTCACTAGAACAATTCAGGTATTACCCTAATTAAATTGGGGGAAATAATTAGGTAAAATTCATGTTTGATAACTTTCTTTATTCTTGTCTGGGTCATTGACTAGTGCTAAAGTCTCCTTTTTAGGGTCCAATCTGAGATTTGGTTCTCATATCCCCTTTCCTCCTTTCAGCTCCTGACCTTGGCAAAGCTCTAGAACAGCAAGCCCATTAGGCTCATTTACACTAAGGGACACACTACTGATGGCCATCAGTCTACATTTTAAAGACAAAGTTTGAACTATTGTTGATTACTGATTGGTGAAATGTCACAAGTGCTCAGCATAGCAGCAGCGCCAGACTATCGAGAAGAGGATTTGGTTTGAGGAGAGGAATGAGAGGAAGCTGGGCGAAGAAAATTTTTGGTGTGCTGAAATCACAGAATTGAGGCTTCTTACCGCTCACCTGACCACCTGTGAGATAAGTCACATTCATTACACGCCCACTTTTAAAAATTTCAAATAAGTACAAAATTGGCTTGGAGTGAGACTAACAATCCCAAAGAACATAGAATAATGCATTGGTGAGTAATCCCAGAGATCTCACCAAACGTGAACCTTTTTTTAATCCTCAAAGGACTTGAGACTGTACTGAATCGGCTTTTCTAGACTTTTCAATGGAAATAAGATTTATAGAGGGCTGTGGCAACAGCCCCCACAAAATAAATGAATTAATAAGTAGCTTTTCAGAAAGAATCATTCTTACCAGAGAGGAATTGGGGGGATCTGAGCTGTCTTTCTCTTTGTAATATCTCGTGTGGGGTGTCTTCTCTTGCAGTCTTGCCCTTTCCAAAGCTTCTTTTTGACTAAAGAAAACAAAAAGTAATTTAAAGTTATATCCACAAAGACTATCTCTTATAACTTCTAGTGGGAAGTAAGCAATTCTGAAAAAATATGATGGAACCATAGAGCATTCAATCCATTCAATTGGAGAGCAACCAGGATGACAAGTTAAGAAAAGCACACAGTTGGGAGCTGGTATAGAGCTCTTGTCACTTAATAGATGAGCCACCTTGGATAAATCGCTTACATTCCTTGCACTCAGATTTTTTAGAATATAAAAAAAGGTAGTATCGATAATTCCTACCTCAAGGAACATACTATGAAGAGCTAGATGAACACTGATGGTGATTATTATTGTATTTAGTGTTTTTCACAATCATCATTGTCATCATCATTGTCTATCATGTCCATTGGTCTCAAAATATGGTTGTTCAACAGAATAACGTAGTAATCCTTTCTCACGAATGAATTCCTTAGCCCTGAAGATTGACTTCTAAAAAATCTGTAGTTTTTCTTTCTTCTTTCTTTCTTTTCTGTCTTTCTTTTCTGACTTTTTCTTTCTTTCTTTCTTTCTTTCTTTCTTTCTTTCTTTCTTTCTTTCTTTCTTTCTTTCTTTCTTTCTTTCTTTCTCAACTAAAGTGATCCTGATGGATTTTTCCTTCCTCCTTCCTCTCTACCTCCTTCCCTTTCTCTCTCTCTTCCCCTTCCTCTGTCTCTTTGTCTCTCTCTCTCTTCCCCTCCCTCCCTCTCCCCTCCTCCGGCCCTCCCTCCCTCCCTTCCTCCTTCCTTCCTTCCTTCTTTTTTTTTCCTTTTCTTTTCTTTCTTTCTTTCTTTTTTTTTTTTTTTAACAAAAACACTTCTCTGTTGAGTCTGATCTAGTTGTGGAACAAAAATCTGTTATAGTTTCTTGTTAACTATGATCCCGAATGTTGAAAAAAAATTTTTTTTAAGAGACATGGTTAGAATTTACATCCAAATTTCCTGTCTGCACATTAAGCTTTCTTTCTCCTACATCAAGCCTAAGGGCCTTGAATCTAAAGACTTATTTGAAGGACCCCATGGCTCATGGTCATGAGCACATGTCTATTTAAACAGTAGTTTCTAAAAATGCAGGTCCCCTGCACACTGAAGGGGTAACAGGAACCTCTTACTCACAAGATAGTTCTGCACATGAAGCACTTGTTTTTATAAAACCTTCCGTCAACACCACGCACGGGATCATTCTCGCGAGTGCACACAAGCTCGTTATTCCTCACATACTTCCGAAAGTCACTGCACTCGTCCTGGAATATGAGAAAGGGGATGTGAGCATGGCATTTTTCCTTCTTGGCTTGGTGGTTTCCCCAAACTTGGTTTCAGGAGGTTTTCTCTTGGCTTTGAGATCAGACTCACTGCACTTATCCTGGCAATGGTGGCCAAGGAACGCCCAGACTGTCTAAGCTTTCCATCCTTCGCTTCCTTCTGAACCTCTCTGCACTGGTCATGGAAATGTAGAGAAACACAAAACAACACTTGACAGACCTTTTTGTCTCCCTCACCCTTTCCTTCCATCCTTCCTGTCCCCAGTTTTCCACATGAGCTGCACCCTTGACCAAAGGACATTCTCAAGGTTATCTAACTCTACAAATGTGATTATCACAGTTAAAAGACTGAACGATGGTGTCTTCTTTGCAATCTTGAAAAGCAAATAGAAAAGGCAGCATCACGCATGCGCGCTATTGATTTGTGGATGCTGAGAAAACCAACCATCTGGAGAAAACGAGAAAAAAAAAACATCAAGGAGAGAAGCTAAAGGGGAAGCTTTAGATTAGTTTATATTACTTGAATTGTTAAAAATCAATGTCAGCAAGCTACCCGAAGTCTCATTTCACATTTAGAGCCAGAGACAAGCATGCAGGTGAGCTGGTAAAGAATTTTACCCTCCATTTTTCAATCCACATTTCTCTCAAGAGGAGAGACTTAAGTAATAATTCATACACACTGTAGGAGAATTCTCTACAAAATTGAGAAAAAGATTAAACTTCAAAGCCAGGAAATGAAAATCTTATTAGAACCCAAAGTGATAATATTGGCAAAATCAATTTTCTTTGAGACAAAAGATTAGCATCTTTATTATCCAAAAATTGGAGAAGAATACACGATCTGAGGATGAAAAGTAAAATAGTTTTCTTCATATCTTTTAAGAAATAACCTTTGCATCTTTTGAAGGCTTGGCATGTGATTTGTCTTCATCATTCGTTTTTCGTTCACTAGCTTCTCGCTCACTGCAGAATTAAAAAAAGATAGGGTAGTTTTTCTAGGGTTATTATTGAAATTTTTTAAACAAAGTATTTCTCGAATTCTAAACTTTAGCAAATTTAACACTATTTTCTCATATCTAAAAAATATCTAAAATAACGCTTTTACTAATGAGTTCTGATTATTTCAATTTTCATAATTTGTGGCAATGTTATCAGCTTTCCTAAATTCAGTTACTATATTGGTATTCAGAATGATATGAATTACTCTTTTCTCTTAGTAGAATCTGTTTACGGCTTTCATATAAAGAATTACTTCAATTCTCCTTTTCATTTTTCTTACTAATTTACAACTAAACTCTCCAGTATTGATTGTTCTTTATACAGTTTAAAGGCTTGAAAGTCTACAAACATTTTAAAAAATATTACCTCCTTGAATCTCTATACATCTGTACTGCGAAATTATCATTCCCTTTACATACATGAAGAACTGAGGCTCTACAAAGTAAAGTGGCCTGTCCCTTGTTACTTAGCTGATAAGCTTTCTCTGAGAGCCAATAATGTGGGCACTATACATTAGCTAACTCACTATCCCAGATGCTCCAGGTATGACTACGCTGTTGCTCATAATCAAAATTACAATTTCTTGTGCAAGTGCTTTGGAAACTTACTATCCTCTTCCAAAGTGAGATGCTATTATTATATTTTTAATGTGTGATGCCAAGTGCCTTAAGTTTTAAATTAAAAGGAACTATTTTCTGGCCAACAGACATGACATTATCATATTGATCAATAAATCTCTTCACATACAAGATGCTCTGACACATTGCACACTTGTTGACGTGCATCTTGCCATCTGGACCTCGAACCGGATTATTTTCTTTGGTGCAGATGAGCTTTCCATCTTGACTCACCCTGCCCCGGAATTCATGACACTGATCCTGCCAACGGAAGCAAAATCAGGTGTTAGTCCAATAGTCTGATCTTAAAAACTGAAAACATAATTGGTTGGTAAGATACAAACTCATAAAACTTGAGAGGGGAAAAAAATCTAGAAAAAATAAAATTTTAGAGATAGAATGTGTTTTAAAGGTGCTTTATTCAACGTCTGTTCAAGAAGTGAGAATCCTCTCCACAGTATCCCTCTCAAATAACTGTCTCACCCCAGTGGAATTTCGCTACCATGTAAGGCAGCCCACACCATTTTTATACGGTTTTCTATTAGGCTGAGCCCCAAACATGTCTTCTTGCAACTGCACCCATCACTCCACACAGATAAAACTGAAATGAACTAAATGATTTTCTTTTGGCAAAATATACTCTAACATGTAAACTTTTAGCTTTGTTCCTCAATAGCAACAACAATAAAAATTTTAATCAGATCTGCATTATATACCAGGCAATTTGTTTTATGCTCTAATAGATTTCCTTTAGTTGTCACAGAAACACTATAAGGTAAATACACCTTATCCCCATTTTACAGATGTGAAAATTAAGGCCTGGAGAGGTTAAGTAATTGAAGTCAATCTTGAAGTTTTGATCAGAAATCCACTAACGACCAGGCTCTTCTTTTTTCATTGCTTCTACCTGGCATGTTCTGTGTCATATTCTATGTGTCGATGCTGTAAAGCACCGAACATCATTTGTTAAAGCCCAAAACTGAACACAAGATGGCACTGTAATGCCAAGTCAAAGATTGTCATCTAGAGCCCCGAGGTTTTGATACTTGCTTTCTTGTTTGTAATTTCGGTATCCATTTGCTTGGTTATTTTTTGTTTGTTTTAAAACTTCAGAAAAGAAATTCACTTGATAACAACTATAATTTGACAAATGTCACTGGTCTTACAAATGTGTGGTAATTGCATCAGGGTTGCCCTTAGGGCATTGATTAGCATGCTATTTCTTTGCAAGATCTGGCCATGTCTTTCTTGTTTACCATTGTATCCACAATGACTACGACAGAGTAGGCATTTTGTAAAATATTTTTTGGATAAATTAATCATACAACCGACGATCCAAATTTAAGTATTAGTATATTTAACATATACTAACCTGTTTTTCTTTGTTCTTTTCCCCTGTATTTCTCACACTATTCTCCTCTTTCTTTTTTTTTTCAGCTGCTTCCCTTTCCCTGGAATAAAAAACAGAAATATTTCAATCAAAGTGAACAAACATCTCATCAATTACTAGATCTGCTTTAAAAAATGTCATTTTCTCAAACCGATGAGAAATGATTATTATACTTTAAGATACACAGTTAAAGGCCATTTTTGGAAAATACTCACAGTTTTTCCTTACACATCGCACACTTATTGCCATGTGTCTTGCCATCTGGACCACGGACAGGGTCACTTTCTCGGGTGCAAATAAGTTGTCCATTTTTCATTTGGCCTCTAAACTCATCACACATATCCTGAAAAGAAGGAAAGATTACATCAGAAGTGGCTGTTTTCTCACAGTATTTAATTAGGCTTGAAAATTTGAAGATTTTTGACTCAAGAGTCAGGCAGCCACTTAACCTTGTTGTGGGAAGCAGTATAATGGCCCATAAAGACTTCCAAAACCCACCTCCTGGAACCTGTAAATATGGTGGCTTACACAGCCAGGAGGACTTAAGATCACAGATGGAATCAGCTGACCAACCTTAAAACGGAGAGATGATTCTGGATTATCTGAGTGGGCCCAATGTGACTGCATAGGTTCTTATGAGTGAACAAGGGGGTTAGGAGAGTCAGTGTCCCAGTGATGCAGCATGAAAAAGATTCAATTGGCAATTACTCGTTTTAGATGGCCATAAGCGCCAAGTGCAGGCAGCCTCTAGAAGTTAGAATGGGCAAAGGAACGGCTCCTGCTGTCACAAAGCAAAGCCTCCACAAAGAAATGCAGCCCTGCTGACACCTTGGTTTTAACAAAGTGAGACCTATTTAGGATTCTGAACTCTAGATATGTATGATAATAAATTCGTGTAGTTTTAAGCCACTGTTGGTAGTAACTTGTTATACAGCTGAACCTCATTTTCTCCAGCTATAAAATAAGATTTAAAAAATGTATTTGACCAGGCTGTTGAGAGAATTAAATAAACTACTATTTATAAAAGTGCTTTGTAAAGTGTCAGACTGAAAGATCTCCACTGGGCAATAAATTTCCACACTGAACAAGTTACCAGAGGTATTTACTTTAACTATGGCTTCTGATCTAAGGGCAAGATCTTGGTTGGCACCACTGGCACCCTCTTTCCATATTTTTGATAGCCAAGTGTTGACTTACAGAAGACCACTCTTATCAAAATCTAGTTAATGACTCACCTTTCCTAATGCTGATTCAGTTCCATTGGATTTATAGCCGGAATACTTATTTGCTCCATGAAAAGAGTCAAAAGTCATCTTGTTAACATGTACTCAGGTTTCAAGTGAGCCTTAGTGCTGATGTATCCTAAACCAGTTACTCCACAGAGAATATCTCTGTGTATCCCCATGATGGACAGTCAGCTTGGTTATTAAGAGGCTCCCTCATCACAAGAAGATTAGATCAACTCAAGTAATTTCAAAGTCTCCTTTATTTGTGTCCAAATGTATCTTTCTATAACGTCCAACCTTTAGTCTTATTTCACATTCTCAGGAAATAGCCTGCGGAATCCATTACCTCTTCCTGATATTAATCCTTCAGGTGTTTTAAGGCAATTTTCAGGTCTTCGAGTCCAGCTTTCTCAGTTCTTTTGCCTTTTCATTATAAGTTGTGGTTTTTAATTTCCCACCAACTCACCATTCTAGTTCCTTGATATGTAGTTCAACCCAATATAATATTATTTCTTAAAGTATGGAGCCTCAAATAGAAAGAAGACAAGTTATCTAGAGAGTATCTTAGGATTATATCTGTTTTTTAAACTTCTTACTGTTCAGATAAATTTTTTAGTGCCAGCGGTCTCTAAGTCTTCAAGTGCATTAAGAATCACCTGTGCAATTTTTAAAATTCTGATTCACTGACCATCCTGGGAGTTTTATTGACAAGATCTAATAGTGACTCACTCAGTAACTTTAGTTATCACAAGCAAGCCACGTGATGTTGATAGAAGGAACACACCCTGGATTGCGCAATAAATGTGCTCCATACACATGAACTATGCTGGTCAACTCTTCCAAATGACCATCACGAATGCTCCCTAGGATATAGGCATGATTGTCTATGATGAAGGCACTTATAAGTCACAGAATTATGATAGAAAATAGAGTAAAAATTAGCCATTGATTAACTGCTCTTGCTAGGGTTCACTGTCCTTTAGGAAAAATAAGAGAAAGAGGTAATATTTTAAAATTAACAAAAAATAATAATTTTCATAAAGGGAGCCCTAAGCAAATGAGAGCCATTCAGTCAGGAGGAGTATGTGGCTATCTTTTAGACACGTCTGTTGAGAGAATTACTTACAGTTTCTCTTTACACATGGTACACTTATTAATGTACGATTTGCCACCAGCGTCACGTACAGGATCATTCTCCCGGGTACAGCTGAGTTTTCCATTTTGCATTTTTTCCCGAAACTCAGAACATTGGTCCTGAAAAGGGAGAAGAGAGCAGGTCTTCTGAATTACTTGGTCTGTCATATTGTTATTAAGTGTGTTAAACCATTTGAGTATGAAAAATTCTTGTCTACCTCCTTTAAGAGAAGGAATATAACATGGAGAGAGGGGCTGGAGTTATTCATATTCTAAGAGGTCAGCTGTCATGGCTAATCAGGTTGCTTTAAAGGTTCTCTACAGGGAAATAATGAAGCTGGCTGAGATTTAATAGCATAAATCAAGGGTCCATAAAGCGAAGGCTAAAAGACTAATCTGTTCCACTGCCTGTTCTTACATATAAAATTCTCTATATAAAACTTGAAATGTACCCTCATTCATTCATTCACTCATTCATTCATTCATTTAGATATTATGATGGCCGTATTCCCACAATGATGGCAGAACTGAATAGTTGCAGCGGAGACCATACAATCCACAATGCCTAAAATATTTGCTATCTGACCTTTTATAAAAAGAAAGAAAGAAAGAAAGAAAGAAAGAAAGAAAGAAAGAAAGAAAGAAAGAAAGAAAGAAAGAAAGAAAGAAAGAAAGAAAGAAAAATTTTAAAAAATACTGACTTCTGTTGTAGGTAGAAGAGAGAAATAAATGCTAGGAGAAAGCATAAAGTTATGTGAAATGCCAAGGAAGACAGGCTTGAACAAATTATGGAGAAGACAGGAAAGGGGTCTCAACAGACCTATCACTTGAGAGTGAGAATTCAGTCTCTTAAAGGGGAAAAGATGGAAAGACAGGCCAGAATTTATCAAAGGCAAATATCGCGCCTGTGTCAGAGCTGGAAGCAAACAGATGGTTTTGATATCCCAAGGTTAAGAGAAGAGAAATAAGGTCCCTATAATCCTATGAAATTGTGTTCACATGCTCAAGAAGTGGGCTTACGTGAACATTGTCATGCTGACACTTAAAAATAGCTCCGGAGATGTGCTAAACACTTGCCTAGAATTATTTTATTTTATCCCTATGAGAGTACTGCTAAATAAAGGACATGAGTTCAGCGAAGTAACTTATTTAATGCTTCACAAGTCCTAAGTGTCAGGGGCAGAACTGTACCCTAAACTATCTGACTCCAAAACCTTGGATCAACAGAACATAGAGTTCAAAAAAGTGGCTTAATTCAGGGGAAGAGGAATAATAAAAGAAAATGGACATGTGATGCTGAAGTGGAGCATTTATACTAATTAATCTCCTATGATCGATTATGGACACGAGAGCTAGACTGTATAATGAGGAGTCGAGGTGCTTGTCAGGAGACTGGGATAAGGTCATTGTGTTAGTTATTTCCAGGTTTAAAAATGTCAAAGTGAGCTCTAGAGACATAAAAATTGCTGAGACATTACCCTACAGTCCTAAGGCAATCCTCTCTTCTTCCAAGGACACTTTCAAACCCAGCACTGCATACATCCACCTTTTACCACAGGCTACGCCATGGTCCCCTTGTCAGTAAGTTGAGCCCACAGTGGTTATAAAAATTAGAGGTTGCTCTCACCTGAGCCTTCTCTCCTCCGCCACCTCCTCCACCACCATTGGAGTCATGCCCTGCAGCATTTCTCTGATTTTCCTCGTCTTTTCTCTTTCTATCTTCATCTTCTTTCTGGCTGAAAATTAGAAAGTGGGAGGTAGGGAATACTAGATTACAGAGAGTGGAATGCATTTCTATGAGTTTCTCATCATTTGACATAAGTAGAGTGGTATAGAACTCACCAGTGCTTACTGAACATCTACTATGTTGCAGGTCCTCTTTGAAAATAAAAAGATGAATTATGTGGAGACTTTATGCCTGGCAGAGCCCTCAATGCAGTACAAGGAAATCGATATTTACATAACCAAAGCAAGACTAGGAGAGCAATTAATTAGCGTTTCATAAATGCTCTCTGTGAATCCCAGCTCGATTTCTCTCAAATACCTCATATTCAAGAGATCTCAAAATAAATATCTTTTCTACCAAATGTGCTCTTCTTCTTGGATTCTCTGCCTTTAACGAGGAACAAAACATCAGAGTGACCTCTAACTGCTCCGTCCCTTTCAGCTCATAGCCGTCGCCACGTGACATTGATTTCACCTTCACGTATCCTCCTGGTTGATTCACTCGCCTTCTATCCTATTTCCCTAGCTCCAGTTACTTCTCGCTGGGTCATTATAAACGCCGACCACCACCAGTAGCATTCTGAATTTTAGTCCTTTCCTTCTCTTTTTCTCCTTTTTACTGCTGACATATGAATCCTAAAAGATTATATTTATGCCACTTCTCTCACCTAAAAAAATTTTAGCAGCTTCTCACTACCTATAGCATCGACTTCAAAATCCTTGATCTGGCATTCTAAGCTGGTGAACTGGCTAAGTTCTAATTCAATAAATGGCTTGTGTTTTACTGTACATACTACAGTTTTCTTAATCGTAGATCTTTACTTACACTCTTCCCCTTTACCTCTCATTCCTGCCAGCACTGTCCACGTGTTATCCAAACTAAAAGGTCCAGTTCTATTCCTCCATAAAACTTTCTATTAATTCTCCCTTCCTGGAAGTATCATAACACATTGTATATATAATTTTTCATTTATTAATCTCCCCTTTGTATTATATTAACTAATGTCCATGTCTAATTTCTAGTGAACTGTATGATTCCCAGGAAGACTGTTTCATTCATCTTTGTATAATCATTGAACACATTATACATTGTAGATGTTCAGTAAATGACTGTTGAATGACAAATGTTTTAGGTGTACTTCCGAACGCTGTATAAAGAGCTATTTTTCATTTCCTGAAAATGTGGTATTTTCAAAAATGTAGGAAGAGGAGTTAGAATGCTATTAAAATCTGTGTTTCCTTCCCAATGGGAATTACTGAAATAATCTAGAGAAGGGATTGAACTGCCAGCAAAGGACTTAGAATTTTATCAAGAAAGATGCTGTTATCTACTGATAGGCTCTACCCAGAACAGAGAATATCATAATTTAGTCATATATTATTTATTTCTAGAATTGTGACTCTTAGCCTTTATAAAGAAAGATTCACCTGAAAATGCTTTACAGATAATCATTTGTTGCTTTCATATGTAAGTAAAGGGCAAACACAGTATCTATTATTCCCCAGCTCTCTGCCTCCCCGGAACTCTGTCAACACACAGCAGGGACTTCATTTGTGCACTCACAAGACTGCTTTACACATGGCACACTTGTTGCCATGGGTCTTGCCATCTGGGCCACGCACGGGATCATTTTCTCGTGTGCAGAAAAGATTTCCATTCTGCAAAAGGCTTCGAAATTCACTGCACGTATCCTAAAATGAGGAGAAAAAGAAAGAACTTGGGTATTTTCTTGGAAATTATTTTGCAGGTTCTTACTAAGTGCATCCTGGAAAAAAGAGAAAATGACCTAAAGATTTCTGCATGGACAATTGTTCTGCTCAGTTCCTACTAACTATACAAGACTTAAAAGGCATTTTTCTCGTTCTCCTTGAGATTCAGCCTCTGAATCCTGCAATCATGAAAAAACGAGAATCTTTTAATAACGTGGGTTCTCTGAGGACTGGTCACATTCCTAATTCAGGGTTTTGCTCACCTTTGTTATGTATAATGAAATAAAAATACTGAAAATGCCATAGAATCAAAAATATTCAGGTTTAGATAGAACTTCAAAGTTTATCTGGTCCAACCATCCACACTATATATCAATCCCCTTTATGTCATGCCTGTCGAGCAGTGGTCCAATTTGCATTGGAACACCTGCGGTAATAAGGAGTCCATTACCCATCAAATAGTTCATTTCAAAATTCCTATTAGATAGTGCTACTTTTGAGGGATCTTAGAAAACAATAAATCCTATAGGATCCCTATTCCTAGAGTTTAATTTTTCTAAGATGTCATTACAATTAGGATGAGTATGTTCCTTCAGACCAGTAAGCAAAGTCAAAGTATTTTATTTCCTTCAGAAAAACCGAGGATGTATTTCTTCTTCCGCATGAGAGTTCTTCAGACATTTGGAGAAAGCTTTCTTCTCCTTCTCCCATAACTTCCTATGTTCTCTTCTAAGAGCTAAATAGCCTCCAGATACGTCAGTCATTCTGTTTCAATCATTTATAACATTTCTCACTCAGAATTCCTTCCCTTTCCTAAAGAGTGTAACGTAATATTCCAGCTATGTCTGGACAAGCACTAACGTGTTGACAGCTATGTCATATTGTTAATTATAATTCCAGTCTGCCACCAAGAGACCTCAGGTGAGGGGTGTTGCCTCTCTGTGCCTCAGTTACCTCATCTATAAAATTGAATAATATATATATTCCACGTGGTTAAAATTACAATGGCCAATATGCGTTAAGTATTCGATACATTGAATTGTTATGAAAATAATTGTTGTGGAAATAATGTGAGATAATAATGTATTTCTAAAATGACTAACATCTAGGAAGTACTCAGTAAATGTTAGCTCTGGAGTTATATGAGGAATTAAAAGAGACTAAGTAAATCACTTAAGATCATACTGTTAATTACTGGTGGTAATTAGGATTGAATTTGTGGAGTTTTTTGTTTGTTTTATTTGTATCTTTTAGTTCAAGTTGAAACTCAATGAGAACAAAGTGAGATTTTTTTCCTAACTCTGCTTTAAGTTTCACTGCCAGATTCCTTAATTGGCCATATTTAGCAAAAGAAATATAATATGAAAGGACAGTTTGTTAGAAGTAGCTAATGTGAAATCAGAAATTGTCTCATTCTGAAAAAATTTCTTTTGTAGATGTTAAAAAGTGAATCATATGAGCTACTAATATTATTTTTAAATTCAGACTCAGAATTGTGGGAAATACAATTTTAAACAAAGCAATCATACAGAATTCCAAATATGATGATTTTCTTTATAAATTATTTATAGTATCAAAAGTTTTTGATAGGGGGCAAGTAAATGACCATGAACTTGGAAAAATCTACCTGGAATCAGTCTTTCTGAAATCAAGAAGATAGTATTTGGGAAAGTTGCTTTTCTGTTTTCCTCCCAAATGCTGGCACCAGAAATAATTAAAGGTAAAGCAAGAAACACACCTGGATTGATCAAATATGTTAATCTAACGCTATACAGCATGTTAGGAATGATGTTAGATTTGGGGTCAGGAAGTCTACGTTTGAATTCTATTATTTACACCTTTCAACTGTGAGAACTCTGAAATACGAAGATATGTATTCTGATATCAAGACTCCCACTCCCTTTCTAAAAACAAGTTCTTTTTTCTCTCTCATTTTGAATCTTCATTTAAAAATATGGGAATGAGGTAAATCAGGGGGCCTGCAAACCATGGCCTGTGAGCAAAATCTGGCGCACCACCTTTTTGTTCAAATAAAGTTTTATTGGAACACAGCTATGCTCATTTGCTGGCATATAATCTCTGGCTGTTTTAGAGCTACAACAGCAGAGCTGAGTATTTGTGGCAGAGACTGAATAGCTACAGCTTAAAATATCACTATCTGGCACCTCGAGAAACTTTTGTCAATCCCTGGACTACATGAACCTCAAGTTACCTCACACAGGCCTTCGGTAATTTCCTGAGTTATTGCCAAAAAGAAACCATACAACCTCCTTCTTTCATTGTGGTCTGAACCTTTCGGGACAACTACCTTTTCAACTTCTCTCTTAACTTTTATTCTGGATTCAGCTTCTTCTTTTTCTTTTGCTTCTTGCTGGCTATAAGACAAGAGGGAGTGGAGGGGTGAATGATTCCTGGTGCCCAATATCTATTATCTTAAAAGGGAAATCTCTCTAGATAAAAGCATTTCATTACTTCCATACTTCTACCAACTTAGCTTGGGAGTAGAAAGGCAAATTCACACCCCCACATATTGTTTTTCTTGCTTTTAATGTTGTTTAAAGAATAAGAGACACATGCCATAGCAAGCCAGTAAATAAATTTTCACTATAATATTACTTTTAGAAAATAAATATATTGTCCTTCTCCCCAGAAAACAGGTAAAATAATTAAAAATAATGACTGTTAGCACATTTTAATTTGTCAGACCTAATCATTACATCTTGGATTATTGGTAACATAAGTACGTATGCAGAGAACACATCCCAGTCCTGTATGCCACTAACTTTGGGGAATTGGCCCTTAGCACATGCTCCTCCCTTACTGGCGATTCAAATACCTTTCAGAACACTAAGAACACTACAAAGAAATGTGCTAACTATATGATTTTATAATAGTAAATCCCCAAACTCATTGCAAAGATAGCCTTCATTTTCTACCTCCTAGAGAAAACCTTCATTATCATCGTTCTCACTCCCCCCGGGCCTATCTGCTGCTACGCTCGGTAGTAGCAGTGGCCATGGCTCTACTCACAAGAAGGCCTCACACATGGAGCAGGTGTTGCCATGGATTCTCCCATCTGGGCCCTCGATGGGGTCATTCTCTCTGGTGCAGGGAAGTCGTCCATTCCTCACATAGTTGCGGTATTCACTGCACAGCTCCTGTGAAATCAGGGAGGATTTAAGAAACGGGTTACAAATAATTAAAAGCTTCTTCCACATTGTCCTATTGAAAACTATGATATAATGCCCCAAAACATAATGGACGAATGGGAAAAGTGTTGCAGAAGGTGAATATCAGCCAAGTTGTTTTCCAGAGGCCCAGGTCACACATTATTTGAAATCTAAAATGCTGTTATGTATCTCATTAGAAAACCTTCAATTCAATTCAAATATTATTCTCTGCTAGGCATTATGAGAGATATAAAGAATAATTTATTGTCTCTTTTGTAAGGAACTTTGTGGTAGACAGGCTAATAGCTACCAACTCTCAAACTTGTACAAGTCCTAATACCCAAGACCTGTGAATACATTACCTTACAGGGCAAAAGAGACTTTGTAGATGTGATTTAAGATGGGAAAATTAAAATGGGGAGATTATCCTGGATAATTCTAGTGTGCCCAACGTAATCCTGAGGATCAGCCCTTAAAACTGCAAGAGTGAGACGGAAGAGACAGCGAGGGGGAGATGTGACTGTAGACAGACAGTCAGAGATGCAAAGGTTATTGGCTTTGTAGATGATGAAAGGGGACCAAGAGCCAAGGAACATGGACGGCCTCTAGAAGCTAGAAAAAACAAAGAGACAGATTGTCTCCTAGAGATTCTAGAAAGGAATGCAGCCCTACCAACCATTGGATTTTGCCTATGAGACCCATGTCAGACTTCTAACCTAAAGAACTATGAGATAATAAGTTTGTATTAAGCCTCTAGGTTTGTTAATTTGTTACAGGAACCATAAAAAATAAATACAAAGTTTTTAGTTTCTTTGGAGGAAATACATAGAAACATCTATAAGTTACAATAAAACAAATAATATAATAAAGGAAAATTGCTGGCGTAGTAGATGATTGAGCTATTAAGTATATTGTATAAATGGGGAAAATCTTCAGGGAGCAGCTAATACTCATTCTGAACCATGAAAGGTGGCCAGAATTTTGACAGACGGAAAGGACATTCATGACTTAGAATGAGCAAGGCCACATAGGAGGTGAAGTTCATTGTATGTATAATATTGAGGAATTAAGATAGTATAGAAACTGTGCTATTCCGTGGGACTTCATGAAAATAAAATAATCATAATCATAATAATATTCTTATTTTATATATGAGGAAACTAAGACACAAAGACCTGAATTGTCTGACCTTACGGGTAAGGAGATGGAGCCAGTATTTGAACCCAGATAGTCTAAGCCCAGAGTCCAGATTCTTAACCACTATGTTCCTGAGTCCACAGGATGGAAAGCCTTAAATCAATGCTTGGCATGTCCAAGAAGCAACAAGGTGACCATTGTGGCTGGAACAAGGGTAACAATGGGTAAAGTAGTAGGAAACGAAGTCTGAATGGTGGCAGAGGTCAGATCACATACGGTACCATAAGCCACTAGGAGAGTCTTGGTTCTTAGTGAGATGAAGAGATTCTGGGTGGCATAATCTCCTTTTTAATTATGTTTTTAAATAGTTACTTTGGCTTTAGAGTTAAAAGTAGATGGTAGGAAGCAGGGAGAGCAGTAAGAAATGAGATCTTCCAAATTAGAAACAGGTAAAGGAAAGGCATAAGGAAGACCTGAGGCGCAGCCTGTAGAAATATCGCAAATGGAAGTCGGGTGCTAAATCTAAAGCGCGTTACAGGCTTTAAAGCCAGAACCTGTGGGCCAATTGCTAGCTCTCAAATTACTAAGTATATATATTTCTTAACTTCTTATCTGAGCTTCCGAGTCCTCTTCTGTAAAATATAAATAATAACATATACCTTGAATGGTTACTGCAAAGATTAGTCATGAAACTATTATACCACACGGCATACAGTAGCAACTAAATAATTAATAGCCATCACTGTTACCACTGTTATCATCATCATCATCATCATCATGAGATGTTACAGATTCAAACTCAAGACTCAAAGATGCTATTAAGTCATTTTCCCCAAATCTCACAGAGATTTAATTGGGATAAAAACCTAGGACTTTTTTTTTTTTTTTAACTAAATATCCTAAAACAAAAAGGTATGGAGAAAAATCTAAAATCTGCCTCTATTGGTTTTCATTCAGACAAGATAACAATCTGTGTACACTTCTTCCTTGGAATATCATTAGCATGATCAGTGGAGAAAGGGGCGATTGACCTCTTCTCAAATGCACAAGCAGCTAGATCAGATTTGGTATGAATAAACTGAATAAGGATAAAAGGATCTTCTTACACATGCGGATCCAAACACATTTTCTCAGTTTGCAAAGTCATCAAGGACACTGGGATTAGAAGGAGGGAGCAGAGCCTCGCCTAGAGAGAATGAAAGTTACTTGGTTCTGATGACCTGGAACAACTACCTGTACTGCTTCTCTCTTCACTTTCTCAGTTTCAACTTTCTCCTTTCCTTCCTTGGCATTCTTCTTCTTCTCTTCTTTTTCAAGTTGGCTGTAATAGAAAAAAGAAAAAAAAAAATATATATATATACACATACAGAATGCAGATAAAGTCAGTCATTTACAATACTCTTTAAAAAAATAAGACCAGCATGCTTGTTTGTTTGTTTGTTTTATCAGCATGTGATCCTTGGGTGATATTTTTTTCTATGAGTCAGTGACTTTAATCAATAATCTGAGAAAAGCCAAAACTGCCCTAACTTTTTTTAAATTGTGAAACCTTTCCTACCTACATAACTGCCGTATCAATGATAAAAGCAAGAGATGAAACTAAGTCAGATGATGGGCCCCAAATCAAATCATGTTTGATTATAAAATAAAAATTTTAAATATTATTTTAATGGGATGAATATCCAAGTTGAAATTCAAATTTTAGAGTGCAATAGCGATTGAAGTCCAGAAAGATTCAACAACTAATATTTTGAGATCGATCATGAGCCTAAGATTCTGGCATTCTTGCCATTTTCTACCCACATGAAGCATATCAAAACCGGAAAAATCCTTAGCCTATATCACAGCTCATCTAGTCATTACCACGGCGCTAGCGAGTGGAGCAGGTGGAAGAAGAGCCTGTCTACTGGCCTACTCTGTCACTCTCTCCTTTAAGGAAACATGTGCGTATATATAAGATTAGACCTAGACATGTGAAAGTGAAAGGACAACGATAACTTTGAACCTCTTTCAAAAGATATTAGTTAAATACTTTTCTCGACACTGATTTTTGCATGCGGCTCAGTCGAGGGTTGGGGATCTAGGAGAAGAACCAGAGGTGGTAATACGTAATTAACTTCTCCTATAGTGTCCCACACGATGGCGCTCTGGTCTCATGCAGCAAAAACAATGGCCTTTTAGGCCCTGGATGTGGCTTAACGAGAAGACATTTTGATAAAACATTTATTATATAGGCCTTCTTCTTAAGGGTTTTGCTCTCTACACTAAGCCACCTATCAAAGTATTTATTTTCACCTGTATATAGTAATGTCTCTGAAAGGATAAATATAATTCTATTACGTTTCTTTTTCAGGTTACTTAACAGTCTTTACATCCTAGCCCCATAGACCTCTGTCCAACTGCTTTTTCCTTAAACGAATCAATGATGAAGAGATTCTGAATATACTTACAGAGTCATAAAATGTCGGGGGTGGGAGAGAGACCAGTGAGATATCCCACCCAACAGATCATCAAACTTCTCTACTCTCTTCGTTATGAATGACGACTATCAAGTGGTAGAAACATATTAGCACTAAATTAAGACTTGTCCCGTGACTTAATTAGTAGAAGGATAATTGAACAAAAACACATTGTCACTGTGTGATTCAATATTACCTAATGTGTTGTCCATGTGTTTTTAAACTTGCCCGGCATATAACCCATAGTAAATATTCTACACATTTCTAAAGAAACGGAGACTCAGGGACAATCGATGAGGAAGAGATTCAGTGGGAGACATGAGAGGAGACACTCACAACACGCTTGCACACATGGCACACTTGTTTCCGTGCATTTTGCCATCTGGGCCGCGGACAGGGTCATTCTCCTTGGTGCATATAAGCATTCCATTCCTCACTTGGTTCCGAAATTCACTGCAGAGTTCCTGGAAAATGAAGAAAATGTTTTCTCAGAGCAGTTTTCCACCCTTCCTGCACCTTTGCTTAGTGGGAGGAATAAGTGAGAAATAAGAAATGCAGAGTAAGAAGGAAAAATAAAAGTGATAACGTGTAGCAGTAAATCAATAAGTATTTTCGAAGCTTCCATCATGGACTTAGAATGGTCCTGGCACCATAGTGAATCTGTGAAGATTTATCATCATTCTCCTGAGAGTGTTTATAATCTAGGTGCAGAAGACTGACACAACTGATAAAGAACAATGCAAAGTAAGTTAACTTTCCACTTTTTATGAAATGAAACTCAAAATTTGAGGTACGCGTACTTTGGAAACTTCTAATCAAGACCCTTTTTTTTTTTCTGAGGTTAAAGGTTTTCTTTCTTCATTTCTGGCATGAAAATTAAACAGGAAAATAATTCTGATAATGAGATATCTAGAATGCTACTATCGAAGAAAAAATGTCATAAAGGCATAGCATTAGCATTTCTGAGAAAATTACCTTTACAGCTTCTCTTTTAGCCTTTGCTCTTGCTCTTTCTTCTTGTTGACTGTAAGGAATGGCAGGGTGTGGGGGAGGGGGGAAGAGAAAGAGAAGAAATGGCTCTTAAAACAGTAGAGTAGATCCTTAACATTTACAGGTTGATCATTCATCGCTTTGACTATTCTCAAGCAACTCCAAAGACCCATTCATAGTAGTCTGTAATTTTATTGGATAATAAGTTAGAACGATTTGCTTCACATAAAGAGAATGGTGTGCAAGAGAAAGTCTATTAACCAGTAAATCTATTTAGCTTCCCAGCAAATATACTGCAATAAGACTTTATTTGTTGATTATTTTTTTTGCATCTGTAACACTTCTTTATAAAGTGGTGATATTTGGCTTCTGAGACGCAGTATAGCACGGTGGTTAACATGCAAACTCTGGAGCCAGATAGCATAAGGAACACAAAAAAGTGACTTAACGTCTTCGTGGCATCCTCATCTTTAAATAGGAAGGGGAGGGGAGGGATAGAATAATAAAAACACTTTCTTCATAGGACTGTTGTATTAAATGAGTTGATATATGGAAAATAATTCAAATAAATATCTGGTCCATAACAAAAAAATTGACAAAAGTGATATAGGTGTTTAGTATCATAATCATTGTCATCATTATTAAAAACGAATTCTCCAAAAATAAGCATATGATGAAAAGGAAGTGAGAGTGATAGTTCATTTTGGATAATTAACTGTGTTACAAACTGAGTTTACTGAACTGGATCTATAGGATAATAGAATCTACAACACAAGTAATTCAATCATGTTGTAGAGACAGAAAAAAATAAATAATTTGTGAAAATATTTTAATATAGTCCAAGCAACAAAGACTTGCTCATTAATTAAATTAAACCTTTTTTAAAAGTTGAAAATACTGTTTGCACATGGTTTGAAACTGCAAGAAAAGACTATAGAGGGGAAGAATGATTCTCATGAAAGTCAATAGTCTTTGCTAACATATCCATAAAATATGAGATGATAAAACTTTATTTCTTTTTGATATGGCATTTTTTCATGATGGAAGAAAATTACTAAAACAGCTTCAAAATTATGAGGTTTCTTATATTTCTTTAAAAGGAAAACTGACATAAACTTTATCATGAGTTTAAGTTGACTAAAAAATTCAAGAAGCATTTTCTTTCCATACTAGGCAATGATCAGAGGAAGCAGCTGAGCTGACCACTAGATGGCAGAATTACCTCCCCGTCGCGGAAAGATTAACACAGAGGTAAAGAAAAACAGACTAAAACAAGCCTCAATACAGGCAAGTATAACTACGGGAACTGATAATGGCTTTGCTAAATGATTATAACCTGTCTATACCATACAGTGAGAAATATTATCACTTTCCGCATTGTTCCTGTACTGATATTTCTATCAGTCTCAACTTCTCTGGGCCTTTATTTTTCCATCTAAAACTTGCCATAATATAAAACCAATTTTATACATTTGTTCTGTAGGTTAAATGAGATTAGGTAGCAAAGCTCTTAGCAAGTATATAATGATTATATGCATTCAATATTGGTTATGACAGTTACATGGTCATTGTCTTGACTTCCACCTTACAGATTTTCCATGCTCTCATGGCCCAAACTCCGCTGGGTTATTATATTGCTCTCCACCAGAGGAGGCTGCACGACAATCCTTTTAGAGAGTCATGGCATATAGAAAATAAATCGGAGTATCCCTTGTCACAAAGAGCAAAAAACTGAAGGAATATCATGGACTCTTTCTTGTTTGAGGGGACATGTCATTTGTTCTACGGTTATATTTTAGTCCCCTATAAGTGGGCATCCAACTTCTATACAACAAAATCACCATTCCTGAAGCAGCCTTCCCCTACTCTAACTACTGCAAAATTTATCTTCATTTTGCACTCAAATCCGTCTTTCTATAGCTCTCCTCCATTTTAATTCTGTTCCTTAAGGTCACACAGAATGAGTAAGAAGAAACGTTGTGAACTAAAATACACAAAATCTAAAGTTTACTGTGCACCATAATGATATTTTACATGTAACCTCATCCATTTTCTATTTTAGCTGATAATCCTTCAGAAAACTAAAAGCAGTCAGTACAGTTATCATAGAGTATTCTCTTAATAAAAGATTCTGAGTTCTTTACGAAATATCCTGAATTTATTCTGCACCTCTTTACATCACAATAATTATCATCTGACATCTTTTTGGTTTTGTGCTTTTTTTTTAGTTTATGTAAATGTGACATCCAAAATTGATTGTTACAGGAAAGAGGAAAATGCATTATTCACAGTTATTTGATCTCTTAGTT